CCTGAGAAGTGCGTACTTTCAATGCCAAATACTTGTTGCGCGCACACATTTTGGGAACATTCAAAAGAGACAGGCAACCCTGGTTGTCTTCGAACACGTTAGAGCGCACGAGACTGTCAGTAATTACCGGAATATTCAGTTTGCTACCAATTTCTTTGAGCAAAGCGCTCCCAGAGGGGGGGGGGGGGGGGGGGGGGGGGGGGGGGGGGGCTGGAAGCAGCTCTCATTGACATGTGGAGGAGGCAACATATTCAGCAGCAGTGGAGATAAAAGTAATATCAGTCTGTAGCCTGCTGGACCAGATAATAGGGCACCAAAACAGAGTCAGGACAAATCCCATGCGAGACGTTGGACGGACACCGGTCCTGTTCAGGTCTTCAAGTTATACCCAGTACCCAAATCCCGGCCCACAAAGTTCTAGCATCCCGATCCATACACCAACTCTAAGAGCTAGCGTCTTAATTTGCACTGACGCTCTACTGACCTCTCTCTGCCCTAGTGTATATCTCAGGTCTTTGTGCGCCCGAAAGTCCAAGATACCCGCGATAGATACCGATTTGCCATTTGCGCGGGATTGTACGTAGCTCTGTGGAAAATCTGCTCCTTCGAGCTGGGACGTGTGATACTAGGTAGACGTGATGCGCCCACTTCTGGGTGGCCACACTCAAAAATGTGTGCTCGTGTCGGAGACTTGTTGCTTCCGATCCGCCCTTCAATAATATAAAGCATGACAATCCCTCTCCAATGCATACCTGCTTACTTATTGTCCTTCCCACGCTGCTCTTTCTCACTAATTAGAGTCCCCCCACCACATGACAGTCACTCTGGGAGGACCTTCCGCTGACAAAGAGGTTGTGCCGGTGCCCAGGAAAGCGGAACAATGTCATGTGCGTCTGGCTGTGGAACTAGACCCACGTGAATCAGCTTTCCGAATCTGTTCTCGGTGCACATATATTCGCACACAACCTGTGTAATTGAAGAGTATGATAGAGCAAGGCATACGAAACACTTGCATCATACCCCTAGTGCCTGTTTCCATACAAATGCCCCCATAACAATTAATATTTAGCCAGACGGCTAGAGTGCCCAAGGATGGTCGAGCGCATTTTATCCGTCTCCCACTCATTCCGTACGATCAGCCTCTGCAGAGTGCTCCCTCATACTGTAGTCAGTTCTGGCTTTGCATGACAATGATTGACTGAAACCGTATCCTTGCGAACTTTTTGTTTTTTTGTGGTGTGTGGTTTTTTTTTTTTTTTTTTTGTTTTTTGTGTTTTTTTTTTTTTTTATGGGAGCTGCCCAACATAGGACTCAATCAGTTCATTGTCTGGACTGAGCGAGATTTGGTCATCACAATATTTAATACCATGAGTTGATGCTCCTTATGAAGTAACAAACATGGGTGGTGCTGCCGAGTTTTCGAAACCAAGTTGAATCATCCCGCGACATAGATGCTCATGAAATAATTTAGGTGAATCGGTCTGGCCATAGATTGGACTTGTCAATGTTTCAAAACACAGTGAGGATGAACAGGATCCTGTGTCCGTCAAGTCTCGCACTGGATTTGTCCTGACTCTGTTTGGGTGCCCTATTATCTGGTCCAGCAAGCTACAGACTGATATTACTTTGAGCTCCACTGCTGCCGAGTATGTTGCCTTCAGCATGTCAATGAGGGAGCTGCTTCCTATGCGAGCTTTGCTCAAAGAAATTGGTAGCAAACTGAATATGCCGGTAATTACTGACAGTCTCGTGCGCTCTACAGTGTTCGAAGACAACCAAGGTTGCCTGTCTCTTGTGAATGTTCCCAAAATGTCTGCGCGCAACAAGTATTTGGCATTGAAGTACCACTTCTTCAGGTCCAATATCGGGGAGTCGAAGGGCATCGTGGCTAAGTATATTCCGACTCTGGAACAACGGGCCGACATTTTCACTAAGGGTCTTCCGGCTCCACAGTTTGCTGTCATTCGGAAGCTCCTCATGGGATGGTAATTTACCTCAGCACTTTGCTGGGGACTCTCTCCTATCGTTTCTTGCTCCAGCTTCATTTCAGCTGTAAGGGAGTGCGACGGGATACAGCTTACAATTCAGCTTTACAGCTTTACAATTAGCAGGCTTATTCTAGAAAATAATCAATAACTGCTCACTTATTTGGAAATACAAACTTTACATCTCTTAGATCCCTAGATTAATCAATGCACAATGGTATTGTCGCAGAAGTCTTCCTTCTGAGGTTGGCATGATGTCTGCTCTGTCGAACTTGTATCTGGAATCTTCTCAACTATCAGGACAGTTGCCATCCGAGATTGGAAATTTGCAGGTAACTGATGGACATTGTGTCCCACCCATCACAAAGCCACAGCCTACAGCTCACACATCGGTACATCCTACATCTCCCAGTTGATGACGCACTTATCTTTGTTTGGTGCCAACAGCCTAGCCGGAACCCTCCCCACAGAGATTGGGACATGTACATCATTGAATGTTTTGACGATTAGTTACACCTCGTTACGAGGGTCCATCCCAACTGAGATTTCTCGGCTGTCCACAACTCTATCGGATCTTGATTTGAGTTACAACAATCTACAACTGCTGCCATCAGAACTTGGTTTACTTACTGGTTTGGGATCATTATATCTTCAAGTCAATCCTGAGCTTGCGGGGACCTTGCCAACAGAACTTGGCCGACTTACCGCACTCCAATTCTTTGATATCAGCGGGTGTGCCCTCTATGGTAGTCTTCCGTCAGAATTCTGTGCCTTGGTACCGCAGTTGACCTTGTTCGAGCATGACCTTGGGGCGTGCCCATGAACCTACAGGTTTCTGACTATCGAGATCAACCCTATTGGTGGCTTCTTCTGTTGGGACATTGCATCAATTCCAACGGTGAACGCTATCGTTATTTGGTATGGGTACGGTATCCCAAAGGGGCGGCCCAAGTTAAGCGCTAGCTAGCAAGGCGTAGAGTATCCTCAGTCAAGCCAAGTCTTAGTTGTTCCAAGGACCACCAGGGCGTAGTGAGTTTGCGCCCAGGTTCTTTAGGAGCCGGTCGGTGTCGTCGCTCTTGCTTTTGATAGCTCTTGTCGGGAAGGCTTCCCAGTAATCCTTTGGATTCACGGGCACAGTCGTTGGTGGAAGAAAACCTTTGGCTCCCAGAAGCTGTGAGAGTTGCTCATAGGCCACGAGGGAGATGCCAAACTGAGGTGATATTCTTGCCACTCTCATTCCCCATCCCTTAAAGAATGCAGCTGGACCCTCTCGGTTGTAGACTTTGGTGAAACAATCACGGATTCCCGCATACTCTGCCTCTCCTGGCCTTGGAATCGCCTGGAGTCTAGTCTTGATGACATCGGCGGGGCTGGGAAGAATGTGGATAAGTAAAAAGCAAAGAGAATGAGCATCAGTGATCGAGCGCCGGGGTCGGGATATGCGAGAAACTAATAGATACTCACGTCGTCAGAAACGATGCAGGCACTCCTGCAATTGTCCCCGCTAGCAGCAAATTGGTGGCTGATGTCGATGGCGACGTATCTTCGGGTCCTGATGAAAAGCTTTCCTTCAAGAACGAGTATGTCGGAAAGTAAATGGCTCCAAACGGAATGTCACGCAGCAGGCAAGCCCTCGCACCCATGAAGAGTCCGGAATAGCCGAGATTCCTGACTACAGCTTGCAGCGATTGAGGAACGGGGTTATCATACCCTTTTGCCCTCAAGAGCCTAGCTGTCTCTCCCTGGAGCTGCATTCGAATCTTCACAATTTCAGTCTGCACGCAAGAACACGGCAAAAAGTTAGCTGCAACAAGTTGGTCACAACGACTTTGTAAGCTGGAATGGGCTTACCGGATTAGTTACGAGCAGTTGACATGCTCCTGCGCATCCGCCAGCCAACATCTCCTTTAGAAAGTGTGTTGCGGTTCTTTTCTGATCCGTCTCGCCGACACCCAAAGACTGGTGCAGCAAGTCATTCACCACGAGCTTTATGGCCTTCTCAGGTGCTACACCAATTAGCTGAGGCAGAAGGCCGCGGTAGAGTGCAGAATAGCCCTCTGAAACCATGGCAACCCGCAAGCAGTCCACAGAACCTTGGTACATTCGAGGGCCATTGAGCGCAACCCTCTCGTTCATCAACCGTGTCTTGACTAGGTCCAATGGTGCCAATGCAAAGACTCCGATGCACCCAGCAATCGAAGTAAGCGAGAAGTTCTGCAACAACGTCAAAACGTCGTTGCTCTCCGTACTTTTTCTACCGGCTTCATTGTTGTACTTGGGTGGGGGAGCAAACGTAAGAACCCCTTGTCGACCAGCGACCGCATCGATTCGTTGGCTGAATTCATCACCGGCAACAGCCACGGTGTCTTCATGCGACACGAACCCATCCCCGTTGAGATCGAACAGCTGAAAAATGATCTCTACCTGCCGCCGACTCAACTGACCACCCATCCCGAGAACTCGGTTTGCAACTTTGAAATCATCGACAGAGACTGGGCCTTTCTTTATGGTCTCGGCTCGATCAATAAGATTGCAAATCCCAGACAGCTGTCCCAGGACATCTTGGTAGGCCAGAAAGTCACAGTACGAGAAGTAGTGATCTCTCGGACGACGCAACTCGATCTGAGCCTCAGTTGAGTCCTCTGATTCCTGATGATTGTCGTCCATTTCGTTCTTGTCTGACGGATGCATTTGATAAATCGTCTCGAGTCGATTTGCCACCCCTTGGGGAACGCGCCAGCCACAAGCCTTCTTCAACACCCGGACAAAACCCGCTGGCGGCAGGTATCCCTCTGGCGTACCGTTCTTTTGCACCTCTTGCAGAAAAATTTGCTGCCCGATCTCGCGCCTCAAGTCCACCATGAACTGAGAAAACTGCTGTTGCCTGATCCCCCGTTGCTTCGATTGTTGACCATGTTTCCCACCACCAAAGTGGCGAGCAATGAACTCCGAGTCCATATCAAACGTAAAGTCACTACTATCGACCAAGGAAGATCTTGTAAGAAACTTTGCAAGGTCTTCCTTGTAGATGACACCTCGTTTCCTTTCGTCAATCAAGAGAAAGGTAATGTCAACCTCGGGGTCTGGCCGTGCCATGAGAAGATGGAACAGACAAAAGTCTGCCAAACTAATCTTCTGATACTCCAATTTGGAGAAACTGCGAAAATGTTGATGAGCCTGATTGTTGCGCAGAACGTAGAAGATGTTGGCAATGCGCACGCCATCTAATGGATCTTGAATGGGCACATTGGATGCGTCAAGACCATTGCTTTGTACTTCTTCTCGTTCTTGCTCTGATGACGGGGCCACATCTCGCAGCGGCTCGAGACAAGAACGGACAAAGTCTTGCATTGTCATGTAACGTGTATTGGTTTCATTGTCAACGTGTCTAGCATGCCGTTGGTAGAGTTTCGTCATGTTGTCACTTGGCAAGACAAAGTTGCGAAACGTTGCTGCATCCACCACGAAGCATTCCATATTCTCATTTTCTGCCGCCACCACCGAAGCCGAATGCTGCCTCCCAAAGAGGAATCCTCCCTCTCCAAAGACTGTCCCAGTACCCAGAGATGCTGGGTTGACGTTTTGACTGTACAGTACATCGGCCTGGCCACTTCGTACAATGTAAATGTAGCTGGGCACTCCGCTTCGGGGTGGCGGTGGTTCCAAGTTGTCATCTTGGCTGGAAGTGTAGATTGGAGGGGGAAATGGGATTTCTCTGTCTGCTTTGGGGTTTCGGTTGTCTAGTGTTGAATCATCTTTTGTTGGTTCCTGGAGGGGTAGTCGTATTCTTTCTTGCTCACTATCGTCATCTGAAGAGTCCACTGTACTGGTAGCTGATTGCGGTGGCCTTGTTGTAATAAGGCCCTCTTGTTCCAATCTTTCTTTTGGATGCATGGGTTGGCTGTCTTCCCCTTCTTCAGTCCCAGCGCCAACTGCGCTTTCTACCAACACAAAGCCTTCTTCTGATATCGGCGTTTCATCAGTTCCGGCTGGGTCCTCTATTCCTTGGATATTCTCGTTATTATCGACGCCGTCTTGCTCGACACTGACATCTTGGTCCACTTCAAACTCGTCGACACATCCCTCCAAAATTATGGTTTCACCAGCCGAATATCGCTTGACCTCCGCCACTTGAATGAACCTCTGTACTTGTTCCTCGTCCAAGCAAGTGAAAAAGGAATTCTTGTGCAAGGCGAGCCGGATGAGTTCCTCATCTTTCTGCTCTTTCGGGAGGAATCTTCTGGCTTCATCAAACCTCGAAGGTTCAGCACCAGACTGATCGACCTCCTCATTATTCGGCATGGTGTTGGCTCTTTGCTTGTGAAGCTGTGAGCCCCTTCTTTCCGACGTTGATGGACTGTGTGGGAATCTCCAAGTAGACTACCTTCGGAATATCTTGGGGGGCGACAGATCTTGTTTGGAGAGAGGCAGAGGGAAGATCGCAATTAATCCTGCAGAGCTGACACTTTACCGGAAAGCGCGACGTGAAAAGAAAGGAAAGAGAGAGCCGGAGGGAAGCAACAAAACACACGAAAGACGAGTAGACCCAAAGACCCCACAATAGACCTCCACCATGAACTCCGTCGACAAAGAAGTACGGCTTGACAAGGTCCTATCAAGCTTTCTGACTGATGAGGACCTGCAGGATGTAACATTGGTAGCAAATGATGGCCAAAAAGTGCGGGCAAACCGCTTTGTTTTGTCCGCCAGATCTCCAGTATTTCGCCGCATGTTTCTGGGCAATTTCTCAGAGGCAACCAAACCAGAGGTAGATGTTGGCTTTAGTGGCATTGTCATGCAGGAGATTGTGGAATACATCCATACAGATACATGTGCTAGTCTCAATGGGAAGAAACGAAAGGCATGTGATGAGAACGAGGCAAAGCAGTGGGATGTTCAAAAGGAGCTGGCTGAAAAAATGGTGGCTCTCTCAGCCGCTGCAATGTACTACAATTTACCTAGTCTTGTCAAAGAGATAGAGAAGAGCATCTCAAAAGTAGTGAAACAAGTCCCCTCATTGCCATTGATGGTCTTGGCATCTTGCCGCAAAGAAGGACCCTCTGTTCCATCAACGTTGCTTGAGCTCGCCTGGACATTTGTTCGGGCCAACAAAGAAGCTCTTATGGAAGCAAAGGTACATGCTTGTGTGGATGCAACTCTGGTGGAGGAGATTGTGAAAGATGAAAAGTTGGAAATGGATGAATACACTCTCTTTGTTTTTCTCACTAAATGGGTTGACAGTAATCCAAAGGATCGACAAGCCATTGCCAAAAACCTGGGAATCAACCTTCGGCTCGAAAAAATAAATCCTGCATATCTTTCCACTTCAGTTTCCTCATCTGGGCTGTTCGCCGCTGATCAAATCAATGAAGCCTACAAAAAGCAAGCTCTGCATGCTGAACAAATCCACAAAGTATCATTTCAGCAGGATCGATTATGTCTTGTCTGGAAAAAATCTCTCACTCTAGAGAGTGGTTCCGATGGGGACGATGTCAACACAGACATGCTCAGTTGTCTTCCAATCAAAGAAGGAATCTATGAATGGACTGTGGAGCTATTGGCTGATCACTATGGTGGGTCAAGTGCTGTTTTTGGCATTGTATGCGCTGAAACATTTGTGGACAATGGATCTCTGTTTTATAGACAAAAGGGTGGGTGGGGATATGATGACAGTGGCAATGCATACAATGAGGGCAAAGCACATATAGGATCATACCCTATCCGTGTGGGCGTACAATTCAAGGTGACGCTCAACCTGAGTCCCAGTGATCGGCAAAACGGTACCTTGAAAATTCAGTTTTCAAATGCAAACGAAGAAGATATTTCCTATGACATTGTCAACAACCTACACGATCATCTGAATTTGCACCCTCGAGGGTTTCTTCCTGCTGTCTCAACTTGCCATGGTGGCCTGGTCAAATTTGTGAAAATGAAGAAGCTCCTGGAAGTCTAGCTACAGTGTAGTGCTGAAATGCGGATCAGTATACCCAAAATCAAAAGCAGGGCGGGGTCTCATGTGGCTGACAAATGCAATCAATCAAACCGCACCATAGTCAGTACCATAGGACATAATTCATAAAGGCCAAACTGTCTCGTAGCTACCGGTACACTCAGAGATCGCTATACGGTAGGCAAAAGGAAGATGTAAACGCTGCCGCGAGCTACGGCGCTCGTTCGTACGGTAGGGTTCCATTACCGTGGCACAAGTCAATCTCGCAAACTCCCACGCAACTACTCTGACGCCCCTTTAATGTTCGATGAATCATCATCGTGCCGTTCCACAAACAATCTATCTATCGACCCACTTCTACCAGTCTATGCAGTTAGATTATGAAAGATTCCTTCAATCTGGCAATGAGCTCTTGCTCCATCGTAGCCGGAACCAAGAGCAAGGAATTTGCATGAACCATGACCTGGCCGCGAGGTCTTTCCAAAGCATCTTCCAAAGACATGACTCCACAATCAACACCATCCACAATGATACTCTGACTGCTTGCCGTCATTTTGTTGTTGTTGGACCACAGGCTGTCTTGTTCCAATTCCGGCCAGGCATAGTGCACATTTGACCCCAATGGCCAGCACGACACCATGTTCCTCTTATTGCTGCCGCCAGTGGTGGTCAAGTAAAAGGGGGAATCCACCGAATTTTCCGCTAATAAAGTTGTTGACAGGGCCGCGATAAAATCGTCATGTATGGGCGTTTTGTCGCTTGGGGTTGCCACCTTGACGACAGAAGCATATCTGCGATTGTTGGTAATAGAATCGTTGGAATGGACGTCTCGATACAAGAGTTGTTGATACTCTGTCGCCACGAGAGCATGAAGAAATCTTCGATCACATTGAGCCTCAATCGCTGCAAGGACCTCTTCGATAGATCCCAAAATTTCGGCTGGGCTGTTTGTGGTGGTAGAGGTCAAGTCTTGTACGGCAGAATTTTTAGATTGCCATTTCCACCCAGCCACGGATCCAACAACGGGCACCAATGCTGTCAAGAGATTGCGGCGGCTCAAGTTGGCTGGGGCTTCCCCAACGCTTTCGCTGGAGGATACCTCCGATGACAGAGCGACATTGGTGGTGCTCCTCGTGGAGGTTGAACGAAGTGGTGTAAATCCTTCGACGAACAAAGGAAGCTCTGCCACTGCTACCAGCACCGGTAGCAACAGACAGAGACCAGGAACAGGAATCCTCATGGCAGAAGGCATGCTACACTACGAATACGCAGTAGTTTTGGAATACACTACAGAGCTTTTCTCTTCTTTGATATCACAGCATTGTCACAGCACCCGTTGTTTTCCCCAAAAGATGGTGTGGCCAAAACCTCGTTGGCCGCAAGAAGAAAAAAAAAAGGAGGAGGGGGGGACAGACGTTTCCTATGACGTCGCTAGTATCGGCCTCTAACTACCCAATGTCCGACATATAAATCCCTACCCATTCCCTGGACGCGTTTTTCCGCTTACAATTTACTTTAACTGTACTAATATGTTCGTACTCCCTTGTGGGATCCAAATTTTCTTCAGTCTTGATTTGATCCAAATTCGTCACTTGCAAACTTTAACCCTCAACCCCCGGTGGACAAAATCGATCAGCCAGCGTGGATGTGCTCACTACTTCGAAATTGTCGACAATGACAGGAGGAGGCGACTCGCCGCTGAAGCAATTCAGCGCTGCTCAGCAAGCCTTTATCAAGTCCACCCGTGCTTCCATTGACAATGACCATCGTGCCTTCCTGAAAGGGCATAACTGGAAGAATGTTCAACCATCGGGGGGAAGGAATAATAGCAACTTGCTGAACACCGCGGCAAAAAAAACCAAAGCTGATGCCTTCTATGTGAAAGGAATGGCTGTTTTCGTTCCTCATCTACTGTTTCAGGGACACGTACCAACCTGTCCTCACTGCAAGAAGAACAGCTACGTGGATGTGTTGAAAACTCGCTGGATTAACAATCCCAAGATTTTGTTTGGAGTCCACCGACAAAGGTACCTGGACACTGTTCTTTATCCATGCAATCTTTGTGGCAGACGGTTTGCGGGGTACAACAAGGAGAGCATGAAGCTGGATTCAAGCGTTTATGGATCAAGTTTTAACTTCTACCTTGGTCATGGATACGCTGTGGATGAGGAGTTGTACAGCCAGATTGTGTTGGAGGCATCAACCGAGTGTACAGCTAGCATCGCGAAACGTCTGAAAAGGCTGGCGTACAGCGCATACTACAGTGATTTCGAGCTCTACTTATCTGCCGTGGGAAGAGATCAGATTGACTGTCGTCCTAAGAAGAAGGCCAGAACAATGGACGATTATGTTGTTATTCAATCTGACAATGAATTAAGAAGTCTACAATCTGTGAAGAATGTCAGGGAAACCAATGCCACCCGAATTCGCCTCCTGTTATCCTCAGCAAAGGGAAAAGCGACTGGTGATGTTGAATTCAAGAGCATGCTTAGGGACAAAGACAACCGGAATCACTTTGGACAGGCCAAGAATATTCTTCCTGGACTCGGAGGGACCAAATTGAGGAAGTTGATTGATATGGGTATCCGCTCAATGCATGAGTTGCAGGGCACAGATCCTGATGACTACCCTCCTCGTCTGAGGAACAAAATTCGCACCTGGCAACAGAAGGTAGCCACCTATTATGAGAACCACCAAGCCAAGGTCACCGATTTGGAGGAGCAATTGATTGCAGCAGAACTGGAGCTTCAACAAGCAATGGACACTCTGGCAGATTACGTGCAAGATAATGGGTTGCCGGGTTCAGCTGAAGATAATGCCGACGGAGAAGCTGCTGCCAGTGACAACCGACCTCCTCTTTTCTCCAAATTTGGTGACAAAAAAGGGTATGACGGCAGAGTGGTCAGCAAGCACATGATCGACAGCCTTGTAACCACAGTCTTCAACCACAGGAAGGAGTACCAGGAAAGCAAGATGCTTGGTCTTACTGCAGAAATGCTGAAGATCGACTTCAATTACAAGCTGGCTGCAAAGATCAGAGTTTGGACTGGACCTGGGAAGAGCTTTTGCCCTTACCGCTGCATAATTACAGTGCAGAATGAAGATGGCCTAACAGTCTTTTGGAAAGCGCTGAAGCACTCTGAGTCATTCACCGAGATAGAGCCGGACTTGATTCGCCTTAATGAAAGGTTGAAGAAGAACAAGCAATCCAAGGAAATCAGCAGACGCAAAGAGGTGGCTCGAGACTTGGTTGCTGATGGTTCTGAAATTCCACCTATTGGCGATGTTCCCTTATCCGATGCAGTTTCTGTTGTGTATGTTGACAACTGCTGTCAAGTACACCGTACACTGAAGAGAATCTTTGGAGAAACCATCACCATTCTCCTTGATCCCTTCCACTGGCACAAAAGGTGGACACCTTGTCTTCGAGATGCCAATTCTCCTCAAGCAGGTATCTTTCGCGGCTTGTTGAGCAGAGCCACCTTTGTTGTTGAAGCTTCTGAATACGATCGAGCCAAAGAGTATCTCCAGCAGAAAAAGAATAGGGAGCCAACTCACAAGGAAATAATGAGAGAAGCGAATGCTGTAATCCCTCCACCTGCACAACTCAGGAAAAATGTGGAAGCGGTGTTGGAATTCATTCGAGGCAAGGATGCTGAAACAGAAATGGCATTGTCCACGGGTACCGAAGGTCCATCGTCCAAGCTGATTCTGAAGAATGACTCTGCGACTCGAGACAAGATTAAGCAACTGTTTACCTATATCGACAAGGGATGTCTATCAGATCCAACAGGAATTGAGATCTTCAGGCGCAATCCAGTTACAGGAATCACGTATGTCTCCAGGGGTACCAACACAAATGAGCGAGACAATCTGGACCTTGCCTACAGGATTCTAACTGCAACACACATCGGCATTCATCGAGCTGACCGGTTAATGACTTGCTTCTTTGAAGAAAGGAATCAACAGAAGGCAATCACCCGTCTTGGTGACCAGGATTATGGCATAGTGGAAACTGAGCGACTGCTCCTTCTCAATTCAATTGCCAAAAAAGTTGGATATAAGGAGACCGAGTTGCCTTTCCAAGGCATCTCAGCTCCCACTGTTGTTGACTCAGCGCCAACTGAATACATGGGATTCTCTTACAAGGTGGCTGAGATGCACGACGTCTCCAATCCTACACAGGCGTTAACCAATTATGAAAGCGGGGATGACAATGATGAGCCAGTCAGCGCCAACAGCGATGAAGAGGATGTTCCAGTAACCATAGATGTCACGGGGGAACCCAACGAAGCAACTGAGAATGACATGGAACAGAATTTGGAAGATCTACAGCAGTCTGAGGCCATTAGAAACAGCGATGCTCTGAATCGGCAATTGATTCAAGAGGAACTCGCCAAGTTGTTACCTGACACAAACGGTAGAGAGTCTACGTTGCAGGCCTTTTCGAAACTTACCAACAAGCAGCCATGGATTCCTTTTCGATTGCCCAATTCAACCACCACAGCCACTCCTTTGGACCTTGAAGAGGACCGCTTATTTAACCAGGAGCATGTTAAGTATAATCTCCAAGGAAGGGGCAAGCCAAACTACAAGGCTTTCGAGAGAAACTGGAATAATGAAGTCGCTCGCCGGTTCTCTGAATGGAGCAGAGGTGATGATAGCATTATTCAAATCAACAGGAAGAGCCGACAACAGTTGGAGGGGTATCTCAAAAAAATACGTGAATTTCGCTCACTTCAGGCCACCGCGACACAGGCCAATGATCCAAGTCGACAACAACTAAACCGGAGGCTTCGTGAGTCAAGGCAAGAGCTACCGGCGAACCCTCCTACACACACAACAGAGCCACCCAACTATACTCAGCACCCAGGTGGACGCACTCCCCTTGGCAACCCAACAGCATTAAATCCTGGTGTCATGGTAGGGCGATTAGATGGGGTGACTGGACAGGTAATGCACCGGCAAAGGAATGTGGCGCCTTATGAGGTTGCAGCAACACCAGAACCAAGGGGAGCACCAACCATGAGACCTCCAAGGAAAGTATTCAGGAGTAGGAGGTTTTGTGTTACCTGTGGCCACAAAAGAAGGAGCCACATTGATGGTGAAGGTGTTGGAAAGGATTGCACCAGGAACTACTGTGGCAATTGCTGGCAGCTTAAGGACTATCATGGACCTGAGGATGGCTATGGTCCATCATGCACCAAACCAACAAGCAGGCAGTGTGTTGACAGGAAAGAGTGGTTTGACATCAAGGTATGTTTTTATTGTTACTGTTGACTACTTGGATAACAAACAACAACAATCTTACAGCTGCTGCTTCCTTTTCTCTTCAGACATGAGACATTCAAGGCATCGAGTATGCATAGACTCCATTGTGAGCAGTGAGAGAAGCCCTGTGCATTATGTACTGCTGGCTACTGATCACCATTCCACTCAAGTTGTGCTTGTGCTTGCTCCAGCACACAGTATCAAACCAATAACTCCATTCTGTAAGTAAGAACTCTTTGGCTTCCCACTCCCACACACCAAACTGATTATAGAGAGCATTCCTCATAAGTGGTCTAACTATCATCCTGCACAACTCTTTCTTTGTCATGGTATCTCCTTCCTCCACTACCAAAGCAAGCAGAGCAAGGACATCACTGTACCACTCAGTGCTCTGCCTCACTCCCCATCCAGTCATGGTCTCCAGAATCCAGGTCATATCAGGTGTCATGGGCACAGCTTTTTCTTCCATTATGAGTTTCTCAATCATGACACTGGGAAGGTACTTTACCTTTAGCACAAAGTACTGGCTGTACCTGTTTGCCCTGTCAGTTTCATCCACAAGCAAAACATACTTGAGTTCATAGCTCTGCCTGGTCTTCCGAATCTCATTGAATGGGTAGCGACTGTTAACATCTAGCCATTCTTTAAAAGCAATACTAGCAGTATGCAACATGATGAAGTACTAGCTTTGCTGTAGTTGACTGTGTAGGAGAATCCAGTTCAATGACTCGACGACTTTACAGTACAGAAGATGTTGCGATTCGGAAGATACATAGAGGTACGGAAGAACGTCTTCGAAATTGTGAGTAAGATAAAATGAGGGCTCTAACAGTACGGCGCACCTCTGCGAATAACTCTTCCATCGTTCCACAAGACTCCAACTGTTTAAGTGACTTTTTTTGAATTCGGCACTGTGGGCCTTACTGTACAGTTAGCGAAGTCTTGTGAGGAAATATTGTACTCTACTTGGCTAGTAACGGCTGCTCACCCATACCCAAAAGATCCAAAGATCCGCTTCTTCAGCTCCTTGCGGCCAAGAAGATCTAGGCTAATCCTGCAGAGCTGGCATTTTGGAGCGAAGCTTTGAAGAAAAGGGGCAAAGAAAGCGCGAAGGGGGCACACAGAAACACAACACGACGAAAGACGATAAGGTCCAAGACAACCATCAATAGAGACTTCCATCCACCATGAACTCCGTCGACAAAGAAGTACCGCTTGCCAAGGTCCTATCAAGCTTTCTGACTGATGAGGAACTTCAGGATGTAACATTGGCAACAAATGATGGCCAAAAAGTGCGGGCAAACCGCTTTGTGTTGTCGGCTAGATCTTCTGTCTTTCGCTGCATGTTTCTGGGCAGTTTCTCAGAGGCAACCAAGCCACATGTAGATGTTGGCTTTAGTGTTCCCACCCCCACTATCCCTGCGGTCACCCCATTTCCACCTTACCCCCCCCCTTCCTCCACCCCCCTCCAGCCCCCGAGCTCTTGCGTGGTGATCTTTCCACTCGCGACTTGTTCGAGCCTGGTAATACTGCTATTATTGACGTACATGTCACCGATTTAGACTGTGCCTCTTACCGAAACAAAGATCCCATCAAAGTTTTAACCCAACAAGAACGCAACAAAAATTCCAAGTATAAAGAAGCATGCAACTCCAATCGCGCTTCCTTCCATCCCTTAGTTGTTTCTGTGGATGGCATGCTTGCCCCCCAAGTCAAGATTCTCTTACAACGCCTTGCTCCTACTACTGCCTCCAAAACACAATTTTCCTACTCTCAAATGATGTTCTTCATGCAGACCCATATCTCAATTGCCCTTGTGAAAGCTACCCATTTATGTCTCGGTGGATCCCGCAAAGCCAAACACTTTGGCCCCCGTAATGGTCCTCAATTTCTTGCCCCTGTTCCCACAGAAACTAGTCCTGAATTTCGACTGTTCTTTGCTTTTTAAGCCTGGCCCCGGCTGGCTTTCGGTAGATAATTTCCCTACTCTAAACCCCCGTGTACATTGAAGATGTTCTCCAAATTGATTTGATTCATTAGGGTGGGGGTACATGAAACGTACCGGTTCTGATTTCGCGGTGGCGGGTTGGCTCATCAGCTGCCCACCTCCATCATCCTTTTCCACCAAGATGATGTCTGCTACAATCAAACGAAGAGACAAAGAGAGACAGCAACCAGAGACTTGACTCCACTCGACTCAAATCAAATCCGCACCATGAACGACACTGACAAAGAAGTACCGCTTGACAAGGTCCTGTCAAGCTTTCTGACTGACGAGGAACTTCAGGATGTAACATTGGCAACAAATGATGGCCAAAAAGTGCGGGCAAACCGCTTTGTTTTGTCAGCTAGATCTTCCGTCTTTCGCCGCATGTTTCTTGGCAATTTCTCAGAAGCCACCAAGCCAGAGGTAGATGTTGGCTTCAGTGGAAGTATCATGCAGGAGATTATGGAATACATTCATACAGATACATGTGCTAGTCTCAATGAGAAAAAACGAAAGGAGAAATGGGATGCTCAAAAGGAGCTGGCTGAAAAATTGGTGGCTCTTGCAGCCGCTTCAATGTACTACAATTTACCCAGTCTCACCAAGAAGATAGAGCAGAGCATGTCGAAATTCCTGAAAAATGCTCCCTCATTGTCACTGATGTTCTTGGCCACTTGCCACAAAGAAAGACCCTCAGTTCCGTCAGCATTGCTGGAGCTTGCATGGTCATTTGTTCGGGCCAACAAAGAAGCCCTTATGGATGCAAAGGCACAGACTTGTGTGGATGCAACTCTGGTGGAGGAGATTGTGAAAGACGAAAAGTTGGAAATGGATGAATACACTCTATTTGTTTTTCTGACTCGATGGGTTGACGGTAACCCAAAGGATCGACAAGCCATTGCCAAAAAGCTGGGAAGCAACATTCGGCTTGAAAACATCAATCCCATGCATCTATCTGCTTCAGTTGCCTCATCTGGATTGTTCATGCCAGATCAAATCAATGAAGCCTACAAAAGGCAAGCATTGAATGCCCAAAGGACCCACAAAGTATCATTTCAGCGAAATAGGTTTCCCATTGTTTGGAGAAAATCTCTCACTACAGAGACTGGTTCGGGTGAGTCTCGTGATGTCAACACAGACACCCTCATTTGTCTTCCAATCAAAGAAGGAATCCATGAATGGACTGTGGAGCTATTGAATGACAATGGTTGTAGGACATCTGCTGTTTTTGGCATTTTGTGCGATGACACATTTGTGGACAATGGATCTCTGGTTTATACACAAAAGGGTGGGTGGGGATTTGGTGACTGTGGTGATGCCTACAGTGAGGGCAAACAAGGAACCCGTGAAGGATTAGATGCTATCGGTGTGGGCGTAGAAGTCAAGCTGACACTCAACCTGAGTCCCAGTGATAGGCAAAATGGTACCTTGACCATGCAGCTCTCGGATTTCAATTTCGAACGAAAGGATTTTGCTTATGACATTGTCAACAACCTGCATGATCATCTGAAATTGCACCCTCGAGGGTTTCTTCCTGCAGTCTCAACTTGCCATGGTGGTAAGGTCAAATTTGTGAAAATGAAGAAGCTCGCGGAAGTCTAGTGCTGAAATGCAGATCAGATCTGTTCTGTGGCACCCAAAATGAAATGCATGTGAAAAGGGTGGGGTCTCATTTGGCTGCAGCAATCAAACTGCACCATAATCAGTATAGGATCATAAAGGCCAAACTGTCTCGTAGCTGCGCTCAAACATCACCATTGGCAAAAGGAAGACGGAAGCTCAAGTCCCGCTAGCAAGCTCGTTCGTTGTGTTCGATATCTGCAGCACAAGTCAGTCATCCCACGCAACTATAATGGCGCCTTTTCATGTTGGATGAATCATGATGATGCCGTTCTATAACGTTCAGTTTCGATGCCATTTGCAAGCATCGAGAGAATAGCCATTCGGTAGTTCTTGCCTCAACAGGAATCAAGTAAAGGGGTGTTAGAATAGATCTAGGGAATTTATTCATCTTCCCCACATCTAGCTAGCTTAGTCATCATCTATTCGCTAATCCGTTTTATCGGAAGCCAGAAGGCGAGTGATTGAATCACTACTCGTGCATGGATTGTGCCATTCTCTGCCAGCCTTGGAAGATCGATTGGAAGGGTGAAGCAAACTGAAGAATCTGTCGACGAAAGTGAAATTCCATCTTCTGCCAGGGAACGGCCATTGTTGATGAGCCCTACGGCGTAGCTTGCTTTTCCACGGTGGCCACCCAACCGAAGCTACGAACATTGCATGATGTTGTCGTGTTGTAAGAGCATTGGTTGCAACCACAGCTCAACCACCACCTATACATAATGATAGAATCTGACAATCCTGCGAAAGCGTCGCCCCCCGCGGAGGTACCGCCCACCCTGTTGACCCCAATCGTCGTTGTAGTACTTATTCTTGTAGTACTGATCAGTTGCCGCTTGTCCATCATCATTTTGACCTTGTCCATCATCGTTACCATTGTCATCATTTGCCATGTAGTCGTCAGTGTCATCGTAATCGTCTTGCATGTACATGGACAACAAACGATTCATGTTGACATCGCCCGGGTGCATATTGTTTCTGGGTGTGACAGTGTAGTCTAGACAGTTTCCTTGATCCTGATTGTTGGGATTCTCATCCGTATGTGGCAGCCCAAATCCATGACCTGCGTTGGAACAAAGAAACAATTGCTCAATGAGTAAATTCATTGCAAAAACAGGCAGAACAAGAGAACTTCTCATACGAAACCTACCAATCTCATGACACATGGTGTATTGACGATGATAGTAGTCGGCGTGGTTCAGGTAAAACTCGTTCATCTTTGCCACACTGGAAACAATGACTCCCGGATCGCCGCTACCTTTGAATTCCAATTCCACTTCGTTGATCCCCACCCACCCCGTTTCACCAAAATTCCCATTGCAGACCACCATGACGCCCGTGACTCGGGCACATGTATGGTCGACGTCCACTCGCTCCGTGCTCAGTGCCAATGCCGCACTTTCTTTCCAGTCGTCCACGGCCGCTTCAAACTCGGTTTGCCAGGCATCGTCCAAGGCATTTTGCAGCGTCAAACTGAGCCCCGTGTAGCCATCGGCACCCTTCCACATTTGCGTCGTGTTGTCACCCACGTACGGGTCTTCGTTAAAACCCGTGTTCCATTCCGTATCGGTCAGATTCTGCAGTACGTTGATGAAATCATCGACATTGTATCGCCCCAATGCATCCATTAGTTCTTGCCGACTCTTGGGTTGTCCAATGTGATTCCAAATGATTAGACCCGCGGTCGTGGCGATCAAACCGATACAAAAGAGGTTGATGACGTTACAGAGGAAACCACTAATGGTTTGACACAGCTTGACGCGCAGGTTGTAGCTTTCAATGGCCTCTCGATATTCCTCTTGCGGCGATTTTGTGTAGTCGACACGAGATTCGCGAGATTGTTCGTAGGCATCGTAACTTCTCGGCATGGTGAACTGCTGTAGCTATTGTAGCTACTAAGGCTCTCTAGCTAGAGTTATCGTTGTCCTTGATCTTGTAGATGGAAATGGGGTGGTGTTGGTGGGGGGACTTGGCGACTTGGCACTTCAACTCGAGTTTTGGGAGGTGCTCGATCGCATCATGGTATTCTACATACAAAGTGACGACGGCCATTGCAAGAACGTGTGGTTTGCCCCATGGCGCATCGATTGGACGTTGAGTCCAAGAGGTGCGCGTGAGGCTCATCATTGTCTTCTTGTTCGTCGTGCGTCGTGGGATGCTTTGTTCCAAAGCTCGAGGATCCAAGTCGTCCTCGATCGGTGCCAGCACGGTGTCAGCGGGAGTGAAGGCAAAGAAACAATCTTTCTCAAAGCAAATGTGTGAAACGTTCGAAAATCGCCGTTGCGACCGGAGGCGCTCTTATCATTTAGAGAGGGAAAGCTTGGTCCGCGTTTTCGCTTCCTTCACATCTTTCGCTTTGGCGCGTTCCGTCGGTGGCAATGATGATGGATGGAAGAAAACAATAGAAAGTGAGAAGGACAAAGATAGTTAGTCTAGCTAGTTGTTGACCAAGGTACTAGTAGCACCAGTTGCATCGTTAATAGCATCTTTGGTTGTTTGTTTGCTACCTTTATAGCACGTTAACACTGCTAATAGAAGACTGCTTTCTGAGGGTACTAGTACCACAAGATGCCCGCCATGGACCTGACGAGGACAATCCGAATAGGGACTCTGTCCTTGATATTCCTGTCGGTGGTAACAACGATTCTTCATCAATGGCACCAGAGTGTTCAGAAGAATCGTTCTCAATCTCTTTGGCAACAGTTCGAGCATGAGCATGAAGCATTGGATAGCGAGGCTCTGCCATTGGAAACTCATCGACGACGACGACACCTGAATAATGCACCACAACAAAAAGAGCAGCGCGTTTTGGGCGCCGATGACGATTGGGTCTATTTGAATCAAGACGACTTTTACTACTCGGGCAAAAAGGCTCAAGGTGACAAAAATAATGGAGGAGGCAAGGATTCGACAACCCCAGCCCCCATAATGATAACGGCACCTGCTGATCCAACCAACCCACAAGTTGTGACGCTTTCGCCTGTGGCCGATTCAACCACTAGGAGCCCCCAAGTTCCACAACCCACGGATGTCTCGATTACAACGGCACCAGTGGATATTTCGGCTCCTCTCCCCACGTTGCAAGTGTCTCTTCCTGCTGCGACCAACCCACCTGTAGCTGCTGGTACCAACCCACCCATTTCATCACCACCCATTACAGTAACACCCATTGTTGTTATTCCTGCAACACCAGTCCCAGTCAGCAACCCACTGCCAGCTCCCACTGGAGCAGCAGCACAGCCTACTGCGGATCCACCAGTGCTCGTCATTGCCGTGACAGATGCACCTGTAGCAGCTACTCCCGAGCCTTCTGTTGCCACCACGACGGATACCCCCACGGTAATGCCGGAAACGCCAGCACCCTCTTCCACCACCACCACGGATGCTCCGGTAGTGACTACGGATGCTCCAGTAGTGACGACGGATGCTCCTAGTAGTTCGGATACGGGCGATGCACCTACCTTGAATCCTACCCTCTTGGCGGCCACTACTACTGGATTGGCCGAAGTCTACGGATGTCTCAAGATTAGTCAAGTGCCGTTGGAAGTCTGGTTCCATTCCGACACGGATGCCGTTTGCTTGTCCAATGATTGTTCCGATGCACTTCGGTGCTGTCGTTTCCATGCCGAAGGAACGTTAAAGTGCGACGACACCAATGCCAATCCGGAGAATCCATGCCTGTGCCATGATTTTACCAAAGACCCCACCACGCTGCCTGCTTCTCCGTTGGTGGCGGATTTACCCGAGTATACCATGCCACCGACTGTGGAAACCACGGAATATCCCACAATCGCTGAGACCCCCACCGCTGCCGATACAGAGAGTCCTACCGAAGCCATGACGGAGGAACCTACCGTGCCACCAGCGGAGGAAACCATCAATCCGACCGACCAACCAACCGAGTCCACAACGGTGCCTGTTGCTGGTACGCCCGTTCCAACCATTCCTGTGGAGCTGCCACAGCAGGAGACGGAAGATCCCACGGATGGTACGACGGATGCCCCTACTGTGGCCGACGATGTGGCAACGGAGACTCCTACAGCACCCGAGCCAATGCCAAGTACAAGCCCCATCGACGAAACTCCAGCACCAACTCTGGCCATGACACTGACCCAAGAACCAACGGCAGCAGCCCCCACGGCGATTATTCAAGTGGAAGAAATATCCCTTCCTCAAGACCTTCCCGATCAAGCCAACGTCCCCGATCGTGATGTTCTGAAGGAACCAGAGCCCTGTTTGCCCTTTGATCAAGCCTCGCCTTTGGTCTTTCATCCGCGGACGGAAGCCCTTTGCAAAACCAATGAGTGCAATGATGGTTGCTGTCGGATTCGCAATTGGTTAATATGTGATAGGGACAACGAATTTTCCGATTCTCCATGCGTGTGCAATGAGAACACGGCCACAGATCGCGAAGATGAGGGACCGGGCGAAACTGTCTTGGTGGACGTGGAAATAGATGCCTCGGAGACGGATGCCGTCGAGTCCAACGCTGTGCCGCATAACAATGCCACAGATCCCCTTGATCCAGATGTCTGTGTGAACGGATCGCCCTTGTACGACGTGGCAAACTTTGCATCCTTTACCCAGTGCGCCAGATCGGCAGAATGTGCCGCTATGGATGCAACTCATTGTTGTTTGGTGTCCTATTGCATGTGCGGAGCACCTCTGGAGAATGCCACGGCGGAGTGTGTGCCACCATTTGAGTTGCCAGCCGTGGAAGCTTTTCCCTCGGAGAGCATCACTGCCTCTAGTACTACGGAAGCTCCGACTGAAAGCCCCGCTGCCTCCGCAACGACGGTTGCTCCAACTGGCATTCCCACTACTGGTCGTACCGAAACCCCAACTGATGCTGCTGTCGAAGTTACCAAAGCTCCGACTGATAGCCCCACTGATCAAATTGATGATGCAGTTGCCAATGATACGGACGATGACGTGGACTCCCCATGTGCGAACGGGTCTGTTTACCAAACAATGAGCGGTTTTTCACAGTTTCAGTCTTGTGTAACGTCTGCTGATTGTGGCTCTTCGCCCACTCATTGCTGTCTCGAGCGATACTGCTTGTGTGCGCCACCTCAAAAGGATGCTCAGGAGGAATGTGTTCCACCATTTGGAGTGCTGATGGATGAACCTGTAACCGCCGGCCGGGACCATGAAGGAACTCCCACAGGCCAAATTTCCCTCAATCCTAGTGCCCCAAGCCCTAGCCCTGTTGCCACCATTAAGCCAAGTGTGATGCCAGCTACCGGTAGCCCCGTTGCCACCATTAAGCCAAGCGTGTTGCAACCAACAAAGCCCCTGGTGGAGAAGGTGTCTTGTGAAGATTTTGGAAATGAAGATGCTATGGCAACAAGGATGGACCACCCAAACTCAGATTCTGTTTGTTTGACCAATTCCTGCTCACTTGGATGTTGCCGCTTCTATTGGTGGTTTGTCTGTGATGAGAACAACGATTTCCCCAACATTCCTTGTGTATGCAATGAAAACACCCAAGATCCCGAGAACTTTGTCCCTAATGATCTCCCTTCTGTTGCTGCAGCAGTGACTTCTACTCCAACTGCTTTAATGGGTGAAGAGCAACAGGTGACATCAATCCCTACTGCCGAACCCACCACTCCAACTGCTTTAATGGGTGAAGAGCAACAAGTGACATCAATGCCTACTGCCGAACCCAGCATTGAGGCAGATGTCACAACTCCAAGCCCAACCACATCTCCGGGAGACCTAGCAACATCCATTCCGGCTAGAGAGCCCAGTGTGTTGCCACCAATGAAGCCACTGGTGGAGAAGGTGGCTTGTAAAGATTTTGGAAATGAAGATGCAATGTCAACAAGGATGGATCACCCTAACTCAGATTCAGTTTGTTTGACGAATTCCTGCTCACAGGGGTGTTGCCGCTTCTATTGGTGGTTTGTCTGTGATGAAAACAACGACTTCCCCAACATCCCTTGTGTATGCAATGAAAACACCCAAGATCCCGAGAAGTTTGTTCCTGATGATGACCCTCCTGCTGCGGTGGCAGTGACTTCTACTCCAACTACCTCAATGGGTGAGGAGCAACAAGTGACATCAATCCCTACTGCCGAACTCAGCATTGAGGCAGATGTCACAACTCCAAGCCCAACCACATCTCTGGAAGACCTAGCCACGTCCGTTCCTACTGAAGAGCCCATTGCATTGCCTCCAATGAACCCCTTGATTGAGACAGAGGCATGCAGAGAACTCGGTGACGACATGCAATCAAGGACAAATCACCCCAACTCAGACCCCGTTTGCTTGACCAATTCCTGCTCACGGGGATGTTGCCGCGTATATTGGTGGTTTGTCTGCGATGAGAACAATGACTTCAAACACATTCCTTGCGTATGCAACGACAACACCCAAGATCCTGAAAGCTTTGTCCCCAATGATCATCCTGCTGAAGTGGCGGTGACTTCAACACCAACAGCTCTGGTAGGTGAGGAATACCAATTAACCTCAATCCCTACGGTTGAACCCAGTGCCAAGGTAGTGACTCCTAGCCATCCTACTGCTGTTTTGTCGGCCACTCCCACCCCTACCGAGGCAGCCGGAGAAGAACTTTCCATTGGTCCAACGACCTCTAGCCCGGATGCCACGAGTGCAGTTGAGCCGACATCAGTGCGTCCAATGAAGGCATTGATTGAAAGAGTTGCCTGCAGAAATTTTGAAGAAGACCTAGAAACAAGAATGGATCATCCTAGTTCAGATCAAGTGTGCCTCACAAACTCTTGTAACCATGGCTGTTGTCGTGTGTACTGGTGGTTTGTCTGTGATGAGGACAATGAGTTCTCCTTTGTTCCCTGTGTGTGCAATGAAAACACCCAAGACCCCAATAACTTTGTCAAGTATGAAGAACCTGATGACTCAGTGGAGCCGCATCGGATTTGCCAGGCTGGAACTATCTTTCATAATTTGGCAGGGTATGAAGACCATACAAAATGCTTCGGTGATTCGGACTGTGGGGGCGACGAGTGTTGTCTCAGCCAGTCTTGTTTGTGTGGTAAACCTGATGGCGAGGGTTCATGTGTCCCGCCTGACCCTAGTGCTGTGGTGCAAGTAACTAGAGACATGGACAATGGAAAGGAGGAAGTTGATGACGAAAGCAGCGTTAGAATGGGTGCTGACTTTCCCACGAACGAACCTACATTGAGCCCTGCCGATGACTCAACTTCCGTTCATGTCGTCGAGAAAAGTGCCTGCGTTCCTTTTGAGGGAGATGCCATTCGGCTGGCCAACCACCCCAACACAGATGAGGCTTGTCGCACAAACTCTTGTTCCAATGGTTGTTGTCGAATCTACCATTGGCTCCTTTGCGATGAGAGCAATGATTTGGCCTTATCTCCGTGTGTTTGCAATGAAAACACAATAGACCCAGCAAATTTCCCTGATGACGATGGAGTGGTTGAACCGCCCATTGATGTGGCCCCGGAAGATGTGTGTCGCGAGGGCTCCATCTATCAAACGCTTGATAGCTTTTCTGAAATGAAGCCGTGCTTTAACGGAGACGAGTGTGATGCTGGACAGTGCTGTCTATCCAGCTACTGTCTTTGCGGAGTCCCCTCCAATTCCACTGCAGAATGTGTGCCCATTCCAGATCCGCCACCTACAGAAGCTCATAATGATGTCGAGGTGGAATCTATCGGGTTGGAACCTCAAGAAATCCCTCCAGTAGACGCCTGTTTGCAAGGGGTCGACGTGTTCTACTCTGATCCAAGCTACGCACATTTTACTCAATGCGTCACATCCAATGATTGCCCAACCATTGCTGGAGAGTGCTGTTTATCCAAGTATTGCATGTGTGGACCACCTTCCAACGAAGAGAGTGCTATGTACGAATGTGTACCGACCTCGGATGAGGAAGAAACCACAACTGTTGCCGTTAGCCCTGGTCCAACTGCGGCCACCTCAGAACCCACCGGCTCCCCCACTGAGACGCCACTGATACCCCTGGAAGAGACGGTTGCATGCGTGCCGTTTGATGGCAGTGTCCTGGTTCATGCTGATCATCCCAACACTCATGAGACTTGCAAGACCAACTCATGTGGTGGTGGCTGCTGCAGATCGTATTGGTGGCTACTATGTGATGAGACAAATGCCTTCAAGTTTGCCCCATGCATTTGCAATGAGAATACACAAGACCCTGCCAACTTCCAACCGCCGCCAACACCACCACCGGTGCCCCTGGGACCTACAGATGTGTGCAATGATGGATCAGATTACCACGGTCATCCGAGTTTCAGTGCTTTGACTCCCTGTTACGGCGCAGATGGCTGTGGAGAGGGTGGATGTTGCATGAAGAAGTTTTGCTTCTGTGGCACTAGCAATGACCCCGAGAAAGACTGTGTCCCAGATGCATTTGACTCTTTCTTGGATGCTGTGGAAGTGGTTGAGGAAGTATCCATCCCAGAAGAAACCTTCGCCACGCTGGTCCCTACATCTCTAGGAACCTCTCAACCACCTGCCCCGAGTGAGAGTTTGACTGAAGCAACTGAGACTAGCGCCACGCAGGTTCCTACAGAGTCTTATGCTGAAAGCGTCACCACATCTCCTACAGATTCAGTTGGTACAAACGTTACCCCATCTCCTACGGAATCAGTGGCAACAACCACGCTCACTTTATCGCCTATCAATACTGATCCGGTTCCAACAGGTGTGGCTCCATCTCCAACGGGCTCGGTTATTGAAACCAGTGTCACCGTAGCGCCTTCGACAAAGCAAGTTCACGTCATTGAACAAGTTGCTTGCGTCCAATTTGCGGGGAACGTTCTTCACCATGCAGAACACGCCAACAGTGATGAAAGCTGTAAGACAAACACTTGTCCCAATGGATGTTGCAGATCCTACTGGTGGCTGCTTTGTGATGAGGACAATGCCTACACCTTTGCTCCTTGCATTTGCAATGAAAACACTCAGGATCCCCAGCAGTTTGTCTCCAACAAACCCGTGAGGGACACCCCAGCGCCGCAGTCTCTGGTTTCTACCAACCCTGACGCCTGCAAGGATGGCTCCCCCTTTCATCATATTACCAACTTTGATCATTTGACCCGATGCTTCGACGGGCAAGGCTGCGGCGAAGGAGAGTGTTGTGTCACGGCTTTTTGTTTGTGTATGAAGCCAGATAGTTTGGACGAGTGTCTTGTTCCAGTACCGGAAGGAGTTGTGGTGAACTCGAATGTATAGGAAACAGCCAGAGTCAAGACTTTGGTGCACGTGTCTTGTGAATTTGGTTCGCTCGAGTGCTATGGCGGATTACAGTGTTGGTGTCTCTCTCTCCCTTTTCTAGATCGATAAACTTTTGGAGCTGTTGCTGCTCCTTCTTTGTCTTTAATTAAAATGCATACATATTTAGTCTCAATATCAAATTGCCCAGGGCCCATTGCCATGTGGGTTGTAATTCGTTTGTAGCCCCCGTGCTTTTGCCTGCTCCGGTCTCTGCCCACACAAATGCTCGAAATAACTCTGACTCTAATGAGTTGCTCTACTCTCATTGAAGATTCTCGAGTCTTGGCTTCCGTTGAGTCTCGTCACTTACGTCAGTTTGGACGAAAGTGCCATCGGGAACTCCCTCCAAAGATCACCATCAAGCAAGGTCGCAACCTCGAGATCCCATCGCCAACAAGGAGGCAGTGCTTGTCCGTACCAGAGCCAGCTGTCTGACAGCTTTAGTGTAACTCTGTTGACGCTCTGTGCAATAAGAAATCATCAAGAGGTAGATAGAAGTGCCGTCCTTCGTTCTTTCTAGACGGTTGAGGTTTTTGCTGGCAAACCAAGTGTATCCAGAACATGAGGGTTTCATCGGCAGCCCTTCGGTTATTTTTGGCCGTTGTGACTTCCACCGTGTCGGCCTTTCAACAGTTGCCGTTTCTTTCGGGGCACGCAAAACAACAATCAGCAATCCGACGAGAGCATGCAGCTCTTACCAAGCTACAGGAACATAAACAATCTTGGTTTGATCAATTCTCGTTCGCTTCCTCTCCCGAGAGCCGCCGTGCTCTGGGCATTGATGGCAAAGATATGGACCACACGACAGCAGCAGAAGCTCCAGAAGAAACAAAGGCAGAAGAAGCAAAGGAGGAAGAAACTGCAACTCCAAAGCTCTTCTTTTCGAATGAACCTCCTGAACCTCAGCCACCCAGAGATGCGCCACCAAAATCCGCTGTGGATGCCCAAACCAAACGAGAAGCCGAGTCTGCAGAAAAGGAAGAAGCCGGGGAGAAAGCAAAATCATTTAGCATTTGGGATTTAGTTGGGTTGGGAGATGACGATAAGCCGTCGTCGGCCCCAGAAACAAAGCCAGAAGAGGCAGCAGTGGAGGAGGCATCTTCCACAGAACCCGTTGCTAGTGCCGAAGAAGTACCGGAAGTGGAAGAAGAGAAGCAAGAGGAGGAAATATCGGTGGATGAGCCGGTTGTTTCGGAGGCTGAAGAAGCTGAGAAAGCTGAGAAAATAGAAGAGGAGGAGGAGCCAGCTCAGGTGGAAGAACCAACACCCACAGAGCCCAAAGAACCTATAGTTTCCAAAATTGCTGACAAACTAATCAACGAACCTCTCCTGACGCCAGAACAGACCGAAGAGGTCAGCCAAGCTGCCAAGGCCGTTGTATCGAAGGTTGTGGTAAGTATCGTGTGTTTCCAATCCCAGAGTTTGGTCGTTGGGTCAAGGATGAAAGGAGGGACAAGAATCTCAGTTTTGGTTATCTATTTGCCTTTCACATACATGCAGAGCCCCATCATTGGCGGAGAGGTTGAAAAGGGTGTACCCCAGTCCACCATCCAATCCACAGCCTTGGCGAGTGCCCTCTTTGCCTACATGATGTCTAGAGACATTACCACGGCCGCAGTGACGCTTGTGGTCTCGGGTCTGTTTGCCATAACTCCAGGACCGATTGGGGATGTTTTTCGAACGATTGGTGAATTGGTGGGTGACGTCCTGTACCGAAGCTGGAACTTGTCAAACAAATTGGGCGTTACGGATGCAGTCAGCGAAAAGCTGGCTCTCATGGAATATGGTGCCAAAATAGAAAAGCTGCAACGCGTTGAGAGTGAAGTGACAGAAGCGTTGCAACAGGCAGAAGCCAGTCTGGAAGGCATGACGGCCGACGAAGCGGCAGGATTTCAAAACGAAGTGCAGAATGCCCTTAAAGAAGCAGACGAAGCCATTGCCGTTGCCAAGCGCATACAGGAAGACAAGATGCGACTAGCTGATGAGGAAAAGGAGGAGCTGCAACTCGACGACAAGGCCGATCAGGCCGATGCCAAACTGGCCTCAGTGGCAGAGGAAGCCCTTCGATTGGCGGCAGAAGCATCCCGTACGGCGGCCAAGTACAGTGACACTACAATCTTTTACGATGCAGCAGCTAGGCTCGCATACGAAAACAGCCGCAAGACTACCAGTTTTGAAGCCTTCAAACAAAAGTATGAAGCCGACGCAGTGGCTGATGTCAAAGCCAAGGCTTTCGTCAAGAAGAAAGAAGAGGAAGATCGAAAGGCGTTAGAAGCGCGAATTGCCGAGGAACAACGGTTAGCAGAAGCGAAGCGTCTTGCTGAGGAGGAAGCAGCACGGATTGCAGAAGAAGAACGACGGGCCGAAGAGGCGCGCATTGCGGAAGAAAAACGGCTGGTCGAAGAAGCCAGGATTGCCGACGAGCAACGTCTAGCAGAGGCGAAGCGTCTCGCAGAGGAAGAAGCAGCCCGGATTGCCGAGGAAGCTAGATTGGCCGAAGAGGAAGCCAGGTTGGCTGAAGAGGAACGGGCAGCGGAGGCCAAGCGTTTGGCCGAGGAAGCTAGATTGGCCGATGAAGCTGGCTTCGAGGAGCCAGATTTTGAAGACGAAGGGTTCAGCGACGAGGACTGGGAAGCGTCTGTAGAAATGGCCAAGAAAAATGCTGATGGAATAATTGTGGACTCTGATGTAGATTTGGACGATTCGGTAAAGGCGGATTGGGATGCGGCTGGAAAATTCGCACAAAGTCTGGGGGGTGGAGGACCAGCTGAAGAACCACCAATGTTCGAAGACGATGAAGTCGACTTTGACATGGAAGAGTTGGCCCGTGCCGCCCGTGCAGCGGTTGAAAAGTTCGAAGAAGAAGCACCAGAAAGCAACAACGTTTCGGTAGAGGATGCTGACGACGAAGACGATTTCCTCACAATGTTCGATGATGATGAATCTGGCGGGATTGATGGCTTACGAGACACATTTGCGGAAGTGTTCGGCAACGACGATGGTGGTGGCACGTTGTTCGATGATGGTGCTGAAATCGAAGACACTGTTGGACAACCTGTCCCTTCGCAACCGCAATTCGATTGGGCATCATTAAAAGTTGCAGAATTGAGGACAGAGTTGAAGAGTCGGGGTCTTCCGCCAACTGGGAAAAAGGCGGAGCTTGTAGCAAGGCTGGAAGAAAACGATTTAACGAGATCCTCCTCGACAGAAGATGTTAGCAGTCTGGACGTGGACGACGACGACGACGAGCTTGACTTTGCAGGGATGGACCTTGAGGCCCTTGGTAGAGCTGCTCGCGAAGCTGTCGACGGATTCAGCGCACAGCCCGAAGATACCGACGTCGACGAGCTTGATTTTGCAGATATGGACCTTGAGGCCCTTGGTAGGGCTGCTCGCGAGGCTGTCGATGGTTTCAGCGCACAACCAGAAGAGAGCGACGAAGTCGACGAGATAGACTTTGGCGATGTAGATATGGAGGAAATGGCTCGAGCTGCCCGTGAGGCTGCAGAACTATTCGATGGCGAGGAACCATCGGATGAAGTCCTCAAGATGCTAGAGGGCGAAGAGTTTGATTTCGGTCTTCCTGAGGAGGGTGAGATGGATGATGATGGGGGTACACCACCAACCACCGACTATTCAAGTATGACAGTGAATCAATTAAAGGATCAGCTTCGCAGTCGGGGGCTGAAAATCAGTGGAAAGAAAGCAGAACTGATAGAACGGCTTCAGTCTGCAGATGGCTAGGCAGTCATGATGACACTGCCAACTTAGCGACATGAAGAAACAAACAACAATGTCCAAGATTACACCAACCGCTACACACAATTCACTGGGCATCATTTTTGGTGTGGCAGCTACTAGTATCAGTTTTTATTGTAAGTTTTGTGTCAAGTTAAATGTAAAACCTGCCTTTTCTGTACGGTGAATGCCACAGGATTCCAGCTCTGTGATGTAGAGCTGGTATCCCCGGCTCTTTTGCCTTCGGATTCTGGGGCCATTTGGGTGCACCGTCCAAGTAACCAGTAGGCAAACACCAGCTTTTCTATGTAGCGTACTTTCCTTTCATATTTGCTCATTGCACCTCTTTAAGCAATTATTCTGCCCCCTCAGCCGGACTTCCTCCGTCCCCAACTCCAGGCAGAGCCTAGCCATGAAGGTTCAACCTCAGGAGCGACAGACTCCTTGATGTACACCAGACCCTATCATTACTACCAGGATCTACTCCTGAACTCACGCCTGACCCATCTTCTGGCCCGACACGCACTAGGCCCAACTCCGGGATTTATCCTGCTGCATGGTCTGGGCCCCACAAGCACACTGCACCGACTCGACTGTCACTCAAATCCAGGTTCTATGGACCACCGGTTCCACAATACGTACATCGTACCATCATACCCCGATCCATCGCCACGCCCCACTCCTGCCCCCCCCTTAATGTACGACAAAGCAATGAACTAACTGTAACCCCCCATAAACAGTAACACCCGCATCCATATTATTATTGTTATTCGTTAGGAGAAAAGATTTGAGTCTTGGCAATTCACCACGCATCTCAAAGAACTCCCGATCACAAGAAATGAGCTGGAGGAGTTGTAGACATTGAGGGATTGTTTTATCGAAGGCATGGAGAATCAAGAAGACGATGTACGAGGCGACGCCTCTGTGGGTGCCAAAATGGAATTTTCAAAAGAGGCAAATGTGGCTCTCTCTCCTCTGGAGGCAGCCAGATCGGATCTTGCCGATGCCCTTGTCCAATTTCCCATTCCGAGGTATCATGGCAGAGAGCGCACTCTGCAGGAAGAATACAATCAAAAGGAACGAGAGCACGCTCAATGGTTGCTTGCCGTTTTGAAAGAACACCCGCAGCTGGCCAAGGAACCTTTCCCGTATCGGTCTTGGACACGGGCCGACCATGGCATGTATCCCCTGTGGCATGCCGTCTTTGTCCAAGCAGATTTGGAGATTGTCCGTGCCATTTACGAACTGTTCCCAGCAGCACTCTTGGATCATGGTGCCTATGCCGACTGTTTTCCCTTTCCGTTTCACGAAGCGGCCGGTGAAAATCGAGTGGAAGATGGACCCGTCTAATTTCTCTGCAAATGAAACCGTCGCTCCTGGTGCAACGGGATTATCATTACAACAAAACACCACTCTCCATTTACGTATCTCAGTTGCGACTATCGCGATATTCAGCTCAACGGGCATCCAGCCGGTTGCCACACACAGTCCGCACCATGCTAGAGCTACACCCACCGGTATCGGGAAACAACAAATTTGTCCTCGGCGAACCCGACACCAGTGCTCTGTTTCGATGGATCCTCAAGACCAAGGTGGATGCCGAAACCATGCAATATATTTTGGGATGCCCGTTGCTTCCCGCACGAACTGGACTTTTGGTGGCGTCGTCCAACAAGGTGTACAACTGTTGCTTGTCACTGGATCAAATACAAGCATTGGCGATTCTCTTCCCCAAGTGGGAAAACATTGGGTTTCACTGCAACATCTCCTCCGATGCCTTTTGCTATCTCCTCGAAGCACTGGCAAAGCAGAAACACGACAAAACCCTCTATTGCTCTCTCATGCTACCTCGATTACTGCCATCATCATCACCAGACGACAACGACAATAACCCAACGCAGAGATTTGCCAAACCACTGCAAGAACTATTGGGGGCTCGTTCTTCGGTGTTTAAACGGCTCAAATTTCGACGAAATTGCGACTCGTCCAGGCGAGAAATGGACAATGCCTGGTTTGACATGATGATGACGACAAACCGAAGGGACAACAACAACCAGCGTTTGGATGAATTGGTGTTGCAACAGTTGAAATTAAAAGGTCGCGAAAGTCTGGTCCAATTCTTGTTCTCGACCAACGCACCGGCCCGACTCATTCTGGAGAATCTGGAAATGGCGGCACCCCGCAAATCATCATCGCTACAAGTCCATTGGACGCGCCCCGACACATGTCGCTTGACAACATTAAAGATTCAACTGCGACAGGGCTCTTGCTTACATACGTTTGATGGCATGATGGAAGAAGTGGCATCGCTGCCCTCTTTGGTGCTTTTGGAGTTGAGTGCCTACAACCTCTCCAAGTCCATGGATGTCACCCGGCCACTCTGCCATTTGCTGCGACGCAGTCGTTTAAAGAAGCTCATGGTGACTGACTTTCGAGCCGATGCGCAGGCGCTGTCCAATGCCATTGCGACGAGCCAAGTGGAGACGTTTCATGTGGCCGGTACGAAACTGTATGGGTCGTGGGGCACCGCCACTAGTGGCACGGGGAGCCTTGTCAACCTGGTGGTGTTTGCACAAAAGGAACCGCTCGAATGGTGGGAGGGGTTGCTACGGATGATTCCATCCATCCCATCCCTCTCCAGCGTTTGGGTGCGACAACATTCTGGAGTGAGTGGAGTTGCAGTTTCGGGAAGTGTCACCGAGGCGGTCCGCGGCGTGATTGCCAACAATGGGGGGCTCGAGTCTTTGCAGATCAGTGGTTGCAGTGACTTCGTTTGGGGATTGGTGCCTCGGTCCTTCTTTT